CAGATATACATGTTCAGAAGACATTGCAGTGTGCTCACGGAAAGTTTCTATGATGATGATGTTCTAACCATGGACTATACAATGTGGTAGTCACTAACTATATATTGTTATTGAGCACTTGAAATGTGAATGAGGGGTTAAAATTTTAATCGAATTTTTAAAAATTCAACTTAAAAATTTAAATTATAAATTTATAAATTATAAAATTTAAATTATAGCTAATTGTGGCTAATAGCTATTGTGTTGGATGTCCCAGAATCACTGTGGATGAATGCTTAGAAAAAGAGTTCTCACATAGTAAGCATTAAATAAGCATTATCTTTTGGCATTACAAGTTCATAATCAATGAAACTGGGTAGTATCTATATTTGAATCATCCAAAGCCTTTTGCACACAACATAATGCTTGTAATAATAATTTATCATTTTGAAACCTTATATATGTTTCCCTGGAGAAACAGAACTAATAGGTTATGTAAGTTATGTGTGTGTGTATACACGTACATATATGTATGAATTATATGAATGGGTCTCATACAATTATGAAAGCTAGTCAGTTCAAATTTCAGCGAGGGTAGGCAGACTGGAGACCCAGACAGAGCTGGTGTTCCAGTTCAAAGTCTGTGATTTAACAGAAACATAAACTATTTAACAAAATATTTACAAAATTGAGATTAAACATTTATAGAATAAATGCAGAGATTACTCTAGTGTCCAGGGTCAAATACAAAAACAAGAACAAAATAAAACTCTAAATCAGAAAGGAATGGTCTAGAGAGACTAAAGTTTACTTTTAGAGTTTTCAGGGATTTTTGTAGCAGACCAGGGACAAGAACTGTTAGTGAAGAGAACTTTGTACATCAAGAAAAAAAAGAAAGTAGTGGAAATAAATATGAGGATTGTTTCTCATATTTTGTGTCTGGAATGGAGAATTATTGTTGGGTAAAAAGAGTTCAATTCTTTGATGGCTAGTTCAGATACCATAAGGTGCAAAACTGAAACATAAGAAAGGTAATTTGAGTATACCACAACTACATACCTCTGTGGGTATTACATAAAACATTTCTTCAGGATGTTAACAGTTCCATATGTAGTGTATTCCATGACCTCAGACTTCATCTGCCAAACCAGCTCTTGTTTACAAGCAATCTACCTTCAGACTCAAACTACAACTCATTTCCGAATCTCCAACCTGCTGGCCTCCCACATCAGATTTTGGACTCACCAGAACTCCATAATTGTGTCAATTCCCTAAAATAGATTTTTACACACACACACACATGACCTCTTGGCTATGCTTCTCTGGAGAATGCTAATACAATATGCAATTATTTAAAAAGATAATATGTGCATTGAGGAAATTTACGTGAACATAGTTTACCTCAAGTTATGTTTAAATTATAATTATTAAACTGAAGAATATTGAACTATGCTTACTTAAATGAAAGGTAAAGTAAAAAGGTGCATTATATTGTTAAGTTCACCATTGAATTTTTAAAATGATTTCATATATGAATTTGAAATTCATTTCATATATGAATATAAACTTCATTTTCAGAATTTGAAACTTTAGTGAAGATTGGTTAAGTGTAATTTAGAAAAGTAGCATATATGAGTTACATAATAAATTTCATACTTAACGAAATTACATGTTAATTGATTTACTTAGCTTCTTAGGTATTTAAGTATTTCTACTCTGTGATTTCTTTTATCTGGCATTATAATTACACAAATGAAAAGTAGATATTTGTTATAATTCTTCTAATATCTTAACAGAGATATGTTGAAACTGTGAATGGGTGAAATTTTATGAGAATTAACTTTTATTTGATATTTTAACATATTGACTTAGAAAAATCCATTGCTTTGACAGAAAAAAATATTCTACATAATCAGGTAGGTATCAATTGAGTACTTTTACATGGATTATTCATCCCAGGGTATATCAGAATTATTCTTTCATATAAACTGAAATGAGTAACCATCATTTTATTTGTCTATCTTTTAAGAAATATGCCTTCAAATCATATTCTCATGAATGTATTTATTCATGGAATATTAATAACTGGTACTGTAGAACTTTTATTTCTATGAGTACATTTGTTCAGATGGTCTGCTTTTATATATAGCAAAAATAATTATTTCCTAATGATTATAGCCTGTTTGAGTGATAAAAATATAAGAAAACATGGTGGTTTAGAAAATTACTTGAGATATTAGAAGGGACTGCTAAAATATGAAGAGAAATTAAAATCTTCAGTTAAATTCAACAGCAATGTGTCCTTCAAATAGGATAAAAACTTGAAGAATGTCTGAAAATAGCAACAAGTTTTCCTACCCAAAGCAAACAGAAGACTAGAAACAGCTTTCAGTAAATTTAAAATACAAACTATATTTGATTAAATGGCTTGTATATACTAGAGTTGATTTTTTTCAATGTAGACTTAAGGTAAATGAAACTCAGATTATGGATCCTAGCAAGCAGATATGACAGAACATTTTGCAGCAGGAAGTGACTTCAAGATCACTTTGCTAGATATCCTTATTTAAAAAAAAAGAAGGAAGTTTGCATGAGAAGTTGTTTTGGGATTTATCCAAAGTCACAGATTTATAAATGCCATCATCAGAATTTGAAACTAGGTCTCCTGACCTCCAGACTTGCTTTCATTTCTACTCTATTTCAAACTATTCTCTACGTTTTGTGAACCGAGTTTCTTTAGTGAAGACTGGCTAATTTTAAGCAAATCCTTGATCTCCAGAAATTGGGTATTGTTCATCAATTGCAATTTCCTGACACTGTTGCTCATGTTTACCTTAAAGACATTAAAAGCCTTAAAAAATGTCAAATAATAAAATCAAATTATCAAACTACCATCTGTGACAAAGTATAAAATAATCTTAACCATATGGAATATATGTACTGTTATTGGGGAAAGTTATAAGAAAATAGTAGAAACATCTTTGGGGTTTGTATAACTTAGCTTTACAGAGTCAATTTATTAGTGTTAACCAATTTTAATCAGATTACAGTTATATATAATTATACAAATCATGTTTTCTGATATACTTTACCTATATCCAAATATATATCTTATTTTCAAGTCACATAGTGCTAAATTTTAAATTAAATTAAATTTTAAGTAAGTTATATATTTGGATATAGGTAAAGTGTAGCAAAAAAACATGATGTGCATAAATATATATAACTGTGATCTGATTAAAATTGGTTAACACTAATAAACTGACTCTGTAAAGCTCTGATTATTAGGCCATGAGTATGTATGTAGAAAATATTTCATAGAAGACAGTATAATTTCTATTCAGGCCACTCTCAATATCTCCCTTCTTAATATCTTTATTATCAGAAATAATAGCATTTCGGCTTCCTCTTTGTTTTTCTTCTCCTGTCCAATTGAAATGTGTGTTACTGATTGTTTTGTAGTAGAACAGCATGAGGTACTACTCCTAAACAATGTGATTTCACTCAAAATGATGGCTTCGGGCTACCAATCATAGGCTAAACACAGCATGAGAGTAGTAATGCAAGGTATGAACTCTATCTATGATGCACAAAGACATGCTTTTTCTATGTATCTCAGTACTTTCCCATAAAAATTGGCTTCAAAATATATCTCGTATTTTGAAACTCAAAAAATTTTAAAAGAAAACTTTTACAATTCTTCAAGTCTCTTTCGAACTGCCTAATAGCTGCCATTGACTTTAATTAATAAAACAAAGATGTTTTCATAGCTTTTCTTTGTGTATATATTTTGCACAACAATACTTTTAATATAAGGAGTGGAACAACACGGTTATGTTGCTAGCTGTGTGCTTGTTTTTAGATCTGTGTTTGTTTTCTTGTTCATGTTTTACCTGGAGTGAAGTTGTGAGTAAACTAATCTTTAATAAATGTTTTAATTTAAGGAAATTTTGAACTTCCAGTTCATTGGTGGTGTCTAAAACTTGACTCTGATTATAACAAAATATTGAAACAGTACAGCACTAAAAGTAGACTCAAGAGACAGAGTGTAAGGGCAAAGAAATGTTTATTTCCCTAACAGTATTTAGTATTAGTTTTAAGAAGAAAATAAATTGTCATATTTTATGTTTTCTGTTTGGCAAAAGGCAGTCTCCGGTTAACTCTTTTAAAATATTGTTTACGCGAGCCAGGTGCAGTAGCTCACACTTGTAATCCCAGCATTTTGGCGGGCCAAGCAGGGAGGATGGCTCAAGCTCAGGAGCTTGAGCCCAGCCTGAGCAGCATAATGAGACTCCACCTCTACAAAAAATCAAAACATTAGACAGATGTAGTGGTGCTAGCCTGTAGTCCGAGCTACTCGGGAGGCTGAGGGGTGAAGATAACTTGAGTCTGGGAGAATGAGGCTGCAGTATGACCAAGCATGAGAGAATGGGGTGGCTAAAGGAAAATGAATAAATACATGAACTTTTAAGTTTTGAAGAAATAAGTATAATTAATCCAACAAGTCTTTATCTAACTAATACATCATGACTCTCAGAGATAGAGCCAGATATTGTGACATAGATTGTGAAAAAAATGTAGATACAGCCATTGCAAAGCTTAAATCTCATGGGAGAGAAAATCATTAATCAAATAGAGTAGGAAGCAGAATTAACCTCTGTTTAACTAAAGAGTATGCCTTGGCTATCATGTGAAAACAAAATCAAAATATTTTTGTATTTTGATGTGTTTTAAAGAAAAACAAAAATAATCTATGTTTTCAATTAAAGGACTGGAATGCAACTTCTTACGATCAAACAAGTATCGTGTTAAAAGGATATAATAACATGTATTTACAGATATTAGGGAATAGTAAAAAGTGACCCAACACAATCTGGGTAATGAGAAAAAATTTATCTGAAGAAGTAATGTAGGATATAGTATGGAAAGGATAAGAAATCAATTACGCAAGGGGCTTAAAAATTATAAAATATATTGCACAATTTCAATACATTTGCTTTTATTTATTTAAAACAACTTACTCTGGTTCTGCCACATTCAAATACTTTGGTAGGCCCTGAAAGTATAAAAATGAATTAGACACAATCTCTATCAGGGAAATCAGCCTCTCATGAGCCATTTGCCACAGAAGAGCAGCAATCAAATTTGTGTCTGTCATCCTCACAGTTCTACTTCTCATTTCCTGTTCCTTCTCTTGCGTGGGGAATAAAAGCAAATGCTTGTTTCAGTATCAAATGATACAATGATATCCTGAATATTTCATTATTTCCAGCTTTTTTTTCATCTTCCCTGGTGTTCAGAGGGCATTGAACATTTTTGGCAAGTTTTTAGCACTATTTTAGCCAGGTCACTCATCGCTCGTACTGTAATAGCTGAACAGAAGTGGAGCACACTCTTTGCAGCTGATTTTTTTCAGGTGTTCTCTTTATAGCAGCCCTAATGGGCAGACAGTTCACTGCATCTCTAGCTGTTGGCATATGGCATCCAGGAGGACAAGACAGCCCAGACAGCCCATCAGATTAACCATGTAATAGACCCAGAAGCTGCTTTAAAGCCGTAAAACAAAATTGCTTATGGAGTCTGCCAGCACGCCAGATGCTGCTATTGGAAGAAATATCTTCCAGTGCTTAGCATCTGGGTTTCATGGTTGCCAGAAAAAAAGAGAAAAAGAATTGGCAACTCACTACCAATGAGATAGCTTTTGCAAAATAAGACATTTTAATATATTTTTAAATGTCAAAGGCAATAGGTTATAGCAAACTTTAAAATTAGATATCTCCGTGTACTTGTAGATATGTCACTATTAACGGACATCCTCCAGACAATCTCTAGGCAGCTGGTTGGTTATTATCTAAATGAATCAGAACACTGAGAATCTTGAATTGGAATGTGAATTTTCAGTCTGTTTTCAATATGCTTATTTTATTGATATTTTGCATGATAACACTTTTGCCAAATGAATATAAATTCTATATTTAAACAAGGTAAGAAATAATGTTTTTGTATTTGCAATCGCTGGTTTGTTTTCTGACTGCCAATTTTGTAATTGAATATTGTAACTAAAGATATAACTCCCAAATATCCTTCAGCTGTTTTTCAGTGGAATTGTTTTTTCTGAAGCCAAATAAACAATAGATTTGACTAACATAATTTAAAGTCAATTAGATTTGGGATTTATGCCCACACAAGGTGAGTAAATTCTTTTCAGTTATGTAATTTATCAATATTGCCTAAAATGTGAAGAATAATTCCTAGCCTATGAGATATCTTACAATTGATATAGTATGCACCAAAAGCCTTATATTGACTCTCTTCTCTAATCATAAAACAGTACATTTTACTTGACTCAAGTGATTCTTTCTATACTGCTCAAACCAAATTTGCTGAAATAGTGAATATGAATGATCCTTCCAAATTTAACAATTTTCTGTGCTTCAATATTGAGCCCCTTAATATAAAGGCAAATCCAAAAACCTATTAATTCTCCAATTTGACCACAATGGTTAATCATGCAGCCTAAATCTGTTATAAAGCTACTGGTTTAAAATACTTTTAAATCCAAACACCTGATATTATACTACCAATACATTCAATAGCCAATTTCATTATGTATGAATATAGTGTATCTTTTAGTTGTTAGTATACTACGAGTCAGTAATAATAAAACTATGCTTATTTGAATATCACATTATGTATTGTAGATTTAGATTATTTTGGAGATAGAAAATCCTACTCACTTCTTGAAATGTAATTATGATAACCCTTTGCCAATTTTCTGGGGAAAATAAATGACTAGGAAGAATTTTATTGAATCTGAGTCTTTTCTATTGATTTATTTCTTAAATTATTTTACTGTAATGAGCAGGTAATATTGATTACAATTTTGAAGAATTATATAGCATTGTGTATCCAAATCGTAAATGTACACTCTTAGGTGTTTAATTTCAGTTCAAGTGATCTAAACTTTGTGTTCACACAGTCACAATTACACATGTGTGTGCATGTACATAAAGATATTCAGAGTAACATTACTTTGTTTTACTATAGTGAAAACAATAGAAATGACTTAAGTACTATTAATGGAGGATAGGTTTAATAAATTAAACTAATTACAGACTATTGATTATATTTCTGGTTTAAAAGAATGAGATTATTTATAATCTTATAAGAAGAGAATTAAGATAAAGTTTTGAGCAAAAAAGAGCAAGAGACATTTTCCAGAGTATGATATTATTTGTATAACTATTTAAAAATGAAAATCTAAATCTGTGGGTTTATATACTTATTTATGTATAATAGTGTCTCTAGGGACAGAAATAGGGTAGAAATATTATTATTTTTTTACCTAGAATAAGCATATTTTTATAGTATTAGTGCAATTGTAGATTTAAAAACAATATTGAATTTTAAAGTCTAAAGCCACTTAACCAATTTCATTCATTTGCTCATTTACACATTGACTAAACATTTCCGCTGTATCAGGAGCACTGTGCTAGAAGTGAATAGATATGGCAGCATCATAAAGTCTGGGTAAGGTGAAAAAAGTCATGCACATTAAGGAAAAATAATAGAAAAATGCTCCAGTTGATGAAGGCATGAAAAACCTACTGATATAAAAGGAGAAAGATTAATGCTGCTTAGTCAAATTAAGGAAAACTTTCCAGAACCGAATGGTGAGATGAGTCTTGATGGATGCACAGGAATATTTTAGGCAGTTTGAGAAGATAGTAAAGATACAGGGACAATCAAAAGAGAAAAACAGCTGAATGGCTTTGAGGGAAAAACACCAAAGTATGATTTGGCTTTGACTGATGAGATTAGTGATGATTCCCAGGGATTATGTCTGAGAAGTCAGGACAGCCAGATTATAACGATTTTTGTAAGCCATGCCACAAAATTATCCCATCTTGTTTTCCCATGAAAGTTTCTAAGTTCCAGCAGAAATTTTTTAAAATTAGGTTTTAACCTACAAGTAAGAATCAAATATGCATTATTAGAAAGATTTCTATCTTGACAGTTTGAAAAATAAAGTCAGAATAGATATGAATATACAAGAAGGCTGGTAACAAGGATTATATTTAGGAGGATATTTCAATAGTTATTATGTAAATAATTTGGGTCAGTGCTTGGGTTAGCTACTATTCCTAGTAATAATAGTGTTGTTATTTAACAATTCCAAAAGCATCAATACAATGATGTCTACCTTCCTGTTTTTAAACATATGCATGCTTTTACATACTGTACATATTTCTATGTATGTGTATATGTATGCCTGTGATAGTTTCATGCATTAACTTCATAAATGTAAATATGTATTTTGTGCTTTATGTGTATATATTCAACTTCATGTGTTAACTTTATGTATTCTTTGTGTTTTAACATTATATATGTAAATACTTTATCCTTTAGCTTTATATATGCAACATGTACACATGCACGTAGACACACATATACATAAAATAGCTGTGTACTTTTGCTTACGCATATATTAACATATAGTTTAATATATATATATATATATACACATATATATATAAAATAAAATGGGTATGAAGTTGTAAATGTTAGAATTAAAACTGAAATGACCTAATGTTATTTTTTTACTTTATTCTTACAAGGTATAACACTATAACAAAGACTGATACGAAGAAAGATCTTTAGAGTAAGAAGAAAAGAGTAAGAATGGCTCTCAGAAATGATATGAGGTGGAAAAAAAACCACATCAGTTTAAAGCCTAAATGCTGAATGTTCTTAAAATAAAAGTAAAATTAGATTGATAAATGGCAAACAATAAAAAAAGGCCATTTAAAAATTGAATCCAAGGTCTATGTATAGACAAAGTTGTATATTACATAGAAATGTGCCTAATACTTAATATCTCATGGCTCAGATAAGATGATTTCCTAGCTTAATATTTAATAATAATATCTCTGTCACCATCTCTATTTTCTTTGAATTTCTGTTAATTATCTCATTACTTAATGCTCTACAATTTGTTCTTTTCTTTCCACTGTTAAAGGTAATCATGACAAAACCTGCTATCATTTACTTAAAATTTCACTAGGTTAGACAGCCACTGTTGGGAACTGTAGGGTTAAATATTAATTCAGTTTTACAGATGAGAGAACTAAAACTTAGGAAGCTGAAGAGATGAGCCAAAACTTACAGGCTCCTAACTGACCAAGCCAGGGTTTAAACCAACATCAATCTGATTCCAGACCAACGTTGTTTCCAGTAATCCGTGTTAAGTGACTTAAAGCAAACTGAAGTAAGAATGTGATCACACATTTGCATGACAAAACCTAGGTCCACTAAAGTAAAAACAGTTTGGCATGTCCATCTACATTATTAACTTTTTGGATTGAAAGCTTTAGTTCTGACACTAATTTAGTCATCTAGATCAAAATAATAGGTCGGGTATATAGAATTGAAGTAATTAATGTAATATTCCTTGTCTGTAGCAAGAGTTTTACACCACACTACTTACATATTAATAAATCTGATAAAATACAACTTGAATTACTAAACTACTAGCCAAAGGCATTATTAAATACTGTCTTTGTAAAGAAATAGTATAAAAGAATATTAATAGAAGAATGCAAAAACAAAAACCAAAGAGACTGCCGGGCACAGGGCTCACATCGGAAGTCCTAGCACTTTGGGAGGCCAAGGTGGGCAGATCATGAGGTCAGGAGTACAAGACAAGTCTGGCCAATGTGGTGAAACCCCGTCTCTACTAAAAATACAAGAACTAGCTGGGTCTGGGGGCGCATGCCTGTAGTCCCAGCTACAGGGGAGGGTGAGGCAGAAGAATGGCTTGAACCCAGGACGCAGAGGTTGCAGTGAGCTGAGATCATGCCATTGAACTCCAGCGTGGGCAACAGAACAACACTCCATCTCAAAAAAAAACAAAAAAAAAAAAAAAAAAAAAAAAAAACAACCAAAAAAACAACCAAAGAGATATGTGGGTCAGGAATGATATGAGTGATCAGGAATCTTCAAGCACAATTTCTGAATAAAACATCAAAAATCATGAAACATAAGAACAGGTACACAATTGTGAATGGTTAATACCGAATGTCAACTTGATTGGATTAAAAGATGCAAAGGGTGTGTCTGTGAAAGTGTTGCCAAAAGAGATTAGCATTTGAGTCAAAGGTGGACCCTTAATCTGGGTGGGCACCATCCAATTAGCTACCAGTGCAGGCAGAAAAACTTGAAAAGACTAGACTGGCCTAGACTTCCAGCCTATATCTTTCTCCTGGGCTGGATGCTTCCTGCCCTAGAACATCAGACTCCAGGTTCTTCAGTTTTGGGACTCAGATGGTCTTTCCTTGCTCCTCAGCTTGCAGACAACCTATTATGGGATCTTGTGATCAGGTAAGTTAATACTTAATAATCTTGCCTTTATTAGTTCTGTCCCTCTGGAGAACCCTGACTAATACATTGATCATCTTACTATACCACATATCCAGTTATTCATTTGTATGTTAACTTTTATTACTGTTATATATACACATATTAGGTACATATATACATGTCTTTCATAAGCATATTATATTTTTGAGTTGATATGTATGTGTGTATATATTTGCAAATATTATAAACTGTTTCAAAACAGCACTAAAAGTTTATTATAAAATGTTACAAAATGCATGTTGCGGTAGAAAGAACAATGGTCCCCCAAAGATGAATATGTCCTAATTTCCAGAACATTTTACTATGTTAACCTCATAGCAAAAAGGGTTTTGCAGATGTCATTAAATTAAAGATATTGAGATTCTGAATTATCCAGGTTGGTCTAATGTATTCACAAGGGTCCTTATAAGAGGAAGAGCAGGAGGATGAACGGCACAGAGGTAGATGTGATCATTTAATAGCAGAGGTGAGAGAAAGGAGGAAGAAAAAGAGAGAAAGACACACATTTGAAAGTGCTACACTGCTGGCTTTAACAATGGAGAAGGAGGTCAGGCCAGGAGCCAATAATGCATATATCCTTTAGAATCTCAAAAAGGCAATGAAAAGGACTTCCCCCTAGTGGGTGATGAAATCAGCTAGAGCTGTGATGACCAGTATAGTAGCCACTAGCCACAGGCAGCCATTTAAATATGAATATAGATTTATTAAAATTAAGTAAAATTAAAACTGTATTGTCTCACTTGCACATTTGTAGTAACGACACTTTATGTACCTAAAGGCCACATGTGGCTAGTGGAGACCATATTGGACAGCTTAGTGGCCCAGGTTCATCGTCACACTGTCCATTTCCTGATCAGACAGCATTGGTCTAAAGAGTTATTAGGTATTAAATGAAACAAGCCTATTAGAAATGTAAAAATCTCACTTTCAATCATAAGAGAAGTCTTATGCAGAAAGAGGACACTTTTCTTGAAGAGTCTGATATTTAGAAGGAGAATAATAATAAATTCATTTGCTTAATAAAATGGGTTTATTTTAATTACAAACTTTAAATATTTGGATTAAAAAACTAAATGTCCCAGAAATATTATATAAAATACTGACATACTAAAATGTAATTTCATATAATAATGGTATATTCACTATTCAAAATTGTTTGAAGCTAGATTACATTTCTCTGAATAAAATGCAGGTGCTAAATTACCTCTTAAAGGCATTCTCCTGTTTATAAGAGAAAAATATGAAGGCTCTTTTTCTCCAAAGGGTGTGTGCATGTATGTTTGTGTGTGTGTAGCTGAATGAAAGGCAGTGTGGAAAATCAGAAAGCACAGGAAAGTTCTAGAACAAAAAGAAATAGCATACATTTATATTAACACATTACAAAATAGGTTGCTTCTTTGGAGGTATATTGAATTGGGTTGAAAATACTTTTAAGGGAGAAACATAATTAAATAGTTGTCTCCTGAAATGGAGCAGAAAAAAGCCTTATTTAATTACCTTTACATGAAAACAATTTTGGTAACAATTGCATAGTGTGATTTTAGTGTCCAAAATTATTATTCTCCCATCTTGTTGTACTCACTGCATAGCAGACAGTATAGTGAAACACCAACACTTTCACTGATGCATTAAATATTAGAAAATAGAGGCATTCATCCTATAGTTATAATTATATTAGCTATATTAGTAATAGATATGTTAATACATTGGTTAATTTATACTTTAATATCTTAGATGAACATTATAATATAAATGACTCACCTTTATTTGTTTCTCCAAAACATTTGAAAATAATTGGAGAGAGAAAGCATACAGGAACCAAGTTCCTGAAAGAATGGGATGGTTTAGAAAGCATACACACACACACACACACACACACACCCCAATGAAAATGACAAAGTTTATAGGAAAGCACTGACATTTGAGGGTGATATGAAATAACAACAAAATCACAAACTACTTTTTGTCTGAAAAGATCAAGGTCAATAAGGTAAATAATAAAAGCATCTCAAGACATGAAAAGTATAGATTCTGTTATTTAATCTTGGAATTCGAAGGCACCTCTTGAAACTTGAGATTGCTTTACTTTATAACAAAGTGCAGTTGATCCTTGAACAACACAACAGTTAGGGGTGCTGAGCCCTGTACAGTTGAAAACTTGTGTATACATTTTTGATCCTCCAATACTTAACTACTTATAGTCCACTGTTGACTGTTAACACGTATCTTGTAGGTTATCTGTATTATATACTGTATTCTTACAATAAAGTAAGCCAGTGAAAGGAAATGTTATTAAGAAAACTCATAAAGGAGATAAAATGTATTTACTATTCATTAAGACAAAGTAGATGATCATAAAGTTCTTGATTTTTCTCATCTTCACATTGAGTAGCATGATGAAGAAGAGGGGTTGACCTTGCTGTCTCAGGGTGGCAGAGGTAGAAGAAAATCTGCCTATAAGTGGACTCACACCGTTCAAAACTGTGTTGTCAAAAATCAAATGTATTGTTTACTATTAAAAAAAGGGAAACAATTTTTCTCACCTAAATTATATAGAATATATTCAAGCCCTTTCAACCCAAAAATAAGAGAGATGAAAAAAGTATAGATGAGAAAAAGCAAAGATCCTGAATCTACTATTTATTAAATATTGTTTTAATTGACAGGTAAAATTTGTGTACATTTATCATATTCAATATGTTGTTTTGAAATATGTATCCATTGTGGAATGATAAATTTAGCGAAAAACTCACTTAGATGTGGAATATGAAAAATATTGAGCTATAGAAGTAGAGAGTAAAATGATAATTACCAGAGGCTGGGTGTGCGTAGGGAGTAATTAGTCAAAGGACACAAACTTTTACTTAGGAGAAATAAGTTTGAGAGATCTATTGCAACTACTTTTTTATAATCTTATGCTAACAATTTTTTCCTTCTGTTTCCAAAATAATTTTGGTGTTTATAAATTAAAAGAAAACAAACAAACACAGAGCTGTGGGATGATTCCAGGTAGGAGATTAAATTTAGCCTAGGCCACAGGTAGCTTAGCTTCTTAACATTCCATTTTAATAGAAACTTTATGGGTTTGCTATATCTCTTGTATATGTTACAAATATTCTTGCATTTCAAAAATATTTATTAACCACCTACAAAGTGCCAGGCATCCCTCTCTTTGTTTCTTAGCATAGAGAGACTATCCCTTTTATTCATCTCATATGTAGAAATATAAAGTATCACTTATGTAGCCTAAAATCACATTATGTTTATTTGCTATTAATGTTCTATTTATGAAAATGAATTTAATGAAAAGATGTCAGACATCATTTGTTTATTCTGTTGATACCAAACTCCTTGCATCTAGTTACCAAAGTTCCTGCTAAACCTCCATAGGCTTAGTTTGGATTCCCAGAAACTGACCCAGTCATATTGAACTTCATTTTGGCTATTTTGTACTTTTGTTCTTTATATTTTCCTCAGATAAATGTATCCATCCCTATGGTTCTGATGTCTGTCCATTTGCTGATGACTCCCTAATCAATTTTTTCCACTAAGACTACATCCTGAATTCTACATCCAGATACTGAGCACTTCTACTTGAATGATGTCTAGTAACCACAAATTCAACATGTACTTGACTGAGCCCAGTGCAATCATCTTATCACAAACTGTATATACTTAATTAATAGGGCAAGCCAGAACTTGGTATCAATCTCATGGTATCAGTGTCAACTCTTTAATAACTTTCCACCTAAGAGATGGTTTTTACAAATACTTTAACTTGCTCTTCCTAATTATCCCTGAATTATTCCTTTCACTCTGTTCTTATTGCCACATCCTTACTTTTGACAATGATAATTTTCCTGAAGTTTTATTTTAAAATAAACCTTGCCTGGCTTTTGCCTTCCAATGTCTCTTCACTCCAATATGCTCCCAAAATTTTCCTTTTTTTTTTTGTGCTTTCGTTGGTAAAAAAAAAAAAAAAAAAAAAAAAAAAAAAAATTAACACATCCCATTTTACTTCTTTGCTAAAACATTATTCAACATTTCTCTTATTGTCTTCCTAATGCAATCTATTCTCCTAAGTACGACAAATAAGAATTTTCTGTCATATGACTGTGTATAAATGTGTTGTGCAAAGGAAAATATTTCTCTTCTCTTTTGAGGTGATCCCTGTGTCACTCTGCAGCATCATTCCACACAATCTTAACTACCCTATGTGCCAACCATCGGGGCATAAAGTTGATTTCTTTCCTATGCCTTCCATCAACTTAATTCCTGGAAAACATACTTAAAGCCCCCAATCTGAATGTTTCTCTTCTCTTAGCTTTCCATGGCCACCTAAAGTAGAGGCGATAATTTTCTACTTATGCAATTTCAGCACAAAATAAGTTAAGTATTTATTACACTCCTTCACGATTCTTCTAAATCAGAATTTCTCAATCTCAGCACTATTGACTGACATTTCAGTTGGGCATACCTTTGTTGTGAGAGGTATTCCTGTTCATTGTAAGATGTTAGCATCAACTTATATGTTTACCCATTAGCACCCTACCCTAATTTTCACATCAGAATGTGCCAAAAGATAATTTAAATGTCCCCTGATAGCCCAGTGTTATCTCAAATTGGAGCTACTGCTCTAAATATATGTCTTTCTAACTTACGCCTTGTGATAGTCCTTAGCACTTAATACTGTACCTAACCCATGAAAGGCACAACATAAATCACTGTAGTGTGAATGAATAAAAATGAATGAATATTTACACATATTTTGAATATTTTTCCAATGAAAACTTCAGGCTACATATTATTTTCCCACTATTTTTTAAAATTGTAGCAGAGGTAGGCCTTATTGTAGCCTGCCTCAGTTGCACTGAAACAGAGTCAAGAAGGAAGTTTTCATTTGCTATCAAACAGTCTTTGCCCTGATTCATATATTAATTAATCTATGAATCTATTCAGTGCTTGGGTGAGTAATTCCTAGAGTCTTATACATGAACATGGTTCTGGGGAAACAGAAATAAAGAATATTCAGGTGCAGCTCAATATCTAAAGCAGAGTGTAGACATATGAAGAAATAATTACAATATAATGTGATTAGTTCTATGCTACATAAATATACAAAACTCAGTTTTCAGGGTGTTTTTTTTTCAGCAATAACCCTACAAGTATGATCTAACTTGAACTGATTTGGTACTTTATGTATTTGAAGCAGACATAGTCACTTTGAAGCAAAACATTCCTTGCCTATACTTTCCTACTATGATGGGAAGATGCTTTCCTGATTGAAATTGCTTCACCTTACCAGTTGCTTGAGGTCTTTGCTTATAAATAGTTATAAATGCATGCTGCATTGGAAAAAAGAATGAGTCTGTGACTAGACTCACCAAAATTTGGGCAAAACAAATAATAAAATGTGGATCAGTTCCCAAACATGTTAACCACTTTGTACAGTATACAGCCCATATGAAAAATATTCTTGAAATTTCTTTGGATAATTAATTATTATAATACAGATTATGATAAGTATATTTGAGGCAAACTATTGGTTAGTGGTCATGTCATGGTGAGTTGGTGTGAGCTTGTGTGTGTGTGTTTGTACATGTATAGAAATATGCAGATATTTTTAATTATTGCATCTATTACACAGAATATTTGATTGGTTAGACCACTGTATTCTGTGATCACGTAAGATTAAAGCAGATGGCATCATGTTAAATGTAAAATTAACAGTATATTTGTGAGAAGATGACTTTTACACTAGCCCTGTTACATGGATTAATACATTGCAGCCTCACAAACCACAAAACCACTCAATTAAGAAATACATTTGAATCTTATACATGTAATTCATTTAATTTAATGATTTTTTTTTCTGAGTGTGTAATTACAAGATGGTGGAAAGATGAAAATGGTATAAATTAAGCCAGAATTTTAAAAGTAAGCAGGTAACAAGATGGGAACACAAAAGCAAAAGAAAATAGCTTAACTCTCTTCAGAGGAAACTGAAAGTTTTCACAGAGTTGGTTGCATTTAAAACAGGCCTTGAAGGATGAGACTAACTTAAGTGAGTTATTGAGTGAGCATTCCTTGAAAGAAGGGAATTTGTGAGGCAATAAAAAGGTATGGGAAAAAGTGTAGAGATAAACAGGCAGCCATGGGGGCATATAAAGTTAATGCTAGTTATTAGGTCATTATTTAGTAAACATTTCTCAAACACAAATGCTAAAACAGAGAGGGCATAGAGTTTTTGGACTGAAAAACTGTTGTGAATTTGAACTGAAATTAGCAGTTGGTGGTTGGTAAACCAGTATTTAATATTATACACACATACATGTACATATCTCCAAAGTGCTTTAAAATATTAGCCAATTTTAAGTATCAAATCTCATAAAATCCAAATTCTAACTTTTCTTTAAAAGACCGAGACTATCTGGAAGCACTGAATTTATCAAATATAAAAATACAGTTTTTTTTTTGTTATCTTAGAAGAAGTCTCCTGTCCTCCTCTTTCCCCAAATGACAGGCATTGTGACTGCCAGGAAAGACCCTCTGCATCATTACAACACACAACACCCTAGAAACTTCTAACCCAAGGAAGCAGAGGCAGAACCTTAGGATCTGAACTCAACCTTACTCCTTTTCCTTCGGAATCTATATTCTACTCTTTATTCTGAGAAGTATAGTGTAATAAAATATCCCCTTGGGGGGAAACATATCTTTGCTTTCTCCCAGGTTTACTGCTATTGTGTTGATGAGTGTGAGATCTCTATTCCAAGTAACAGTATATCTACTCCCCAAATTTCTAAGGTTTTCAGGAAACCACATGTTATTTTGCTGTTTGCTCTTAGCCTTGCAGCAAACATCTTTTGTATTAAAAACCTGTAAGTATCAATAATGCGGCTGGGCGCCGTGGCTCACACCTGTAATTCCAGCATTTTCGAAGGCCAAGGTGGGCTGATCACCTGCGATCAGGAGTTTGAGACCAGCCTGGCCAATGTGGTGAAACTGAACTCTGTCTCTACTAAAAATACACAGAAAAATTAGCCGGGCATAGTGGTGCTCACGTGTAATCCCAGCTACTTGGGAAACTGAGGCAGGAGAATCGCTTGAAGCCAGGAGGCGGAGGCTGCAGTGAGTCGAGATCCACCATTGCACACCAGCCTGGTGATAGAGTGCAACTCCATCTTAAAAAAAAAAAAAATTAAAAAAAGTTAGAAGAATTAATTCTTAAAAGCTAAAAAAATTAGCAAGTATATTATTATAGAAAGCTTCATTTTTAGATATAATGACCAAGGTTCAAATAAAATCAAGTTAAACCATGCTATCAGATACTGTATTTTAATTTATTTCAACTGCCTGTATTTATAAAATCTGCTGTTTTATTCACATTTGCTATGATATGATTTTCCTGTATATCAAAGACCATCACCAATAGTGTAATAAACATATTGCTCTATAATATATGCATACACTAAGTGGTCGTGACTAGAGTCCCTACATAGGGACTGCTTTGTCTTTATCTTTGCATTTTAGAAAGACACAAATAATGCCTAAAATTTTGTAATAAAGGAAAACCTTAACATACTGACATTTGTGGAGAAAAGGGTTAAAGTTTAAAAGGGTAATTAATATGATGTTGGCTACTGGGAGAATTATAAATTATATTTTAATTACTTAATATTAGTCTATAATATGGAACTCTCCGATATTCATGCCCAAACATACTCAAAGAATATGTGATTAACTCTCTGTTATATCTCCAAGATATTCTGCTTGAAAAGATGCTGTGATTGATTACAAGTCTGCAAACCAATATCTTCCTGCATCAAAATTCAAGTGCATTACCGTAGCACAGAAGGGTGTTATGGCAGATGTCAGCCAACTGCTTCGTAGCTGCATGATCGATGGTGCGAATGGTGATTGATGTTATTGACATGCCCTGGCACCTAAAATAGAGTGTATATGTATGTGTGACAGAGGGAGGGATGGGCTCATATTTGGATTTTAAAAAAGCAAAATTACAGGGCCTAAAAAATAATTGGCCATAGAAAAGGAGTGAAGTGCATAATGAAAGTAATAATTGTTTTTGAAAAGAAAGAATATAGGTCTAGCAAGAAATATGGCTTCAGAGAAAAACAAAACAGTTTTGTTTTACTAAGCAGAAAATATATGTGACTTTCTCTTTCCAATCATGCTTATATTTTACTTAATTTCATTATCTATGTAAGCAAGAGTGGGGATAGAAAGTGCTGCTCTTGTTTAACAGAAATGACATTTTATCCATCACACTTCACCAGTGGACAAATAAGGAAAAGGAAAAAGAGATATTGAAGGACTTAAGGTTAAAAAGTAAATTGCATCTAGTATAACAATTTTGAAACAAATCTTATCTGAAGTATTATCTGATTGTAAGCTCTAAAACATATAGATAAAGAAATATGTTAGAAATCTGTTGATATTAATTTTGTATATTCAATTTAGAAAAGCTTAAGAATAAGAATGAATTAGCTCAGTGAAGAAAGCCACTTTAGAAAAGACTCACTACACAGTGAGTCTTACATATAAATCTAAGAAGTTTTCCACCAGCCATATGAATAAGGAAACTTGATATACATTATTTTCAAAAAGGGGAAAGAGGAACATGATCCCAAGGCATAATACTTATAAATTCCTGGCTATGTTAATACACATTCACACACATACATGCCACACTAAGTTAATAGCTGCAAATCTATATCAGGTAAATCCATATGATAAACATTGTTATCCACAACATACCAATGAAAGAAATGAAGGAAAGAAAAGGTAAGTACCTTGACCAGTGTTCCACAGGAAGTTTGTGGCTGAACAAAGGTTGCTACTTAGGTGGTCTACTTTCTGGGGCTGCACTCTTCAGTGTATACTCAATGTAGATGGTTTGCAACTACAGAAAAGCAAAGACCAAAGAAATTATTATTATTATCCAAAACACCACTATTTATATATATTACGGAAATGCATATAATGTTTTAAAAGTATTCTAATCTCTGGATTTTTAACTTGGAGGCCATGGATAGGCTTATAACTCATCCAAAATGTTTTGTGTGCTTTTCTTTTTTTGCAGAGAAAGTTTCCAAAACTTTCTTCTAGTTCTCAGAGATATTGGAACAATAACCCCAATCTCTAAATTCACCTGTGAAGAAAATGAGACCTGGATCTGTTGCTAGATCTATGAATGGACCAACCATGGGACCTTGGCCAGCACTCAACATTCTGCTGGGAGGAAGGGTCAGAGCTGCCTGGAGAAAAGAGCACCAGACTCAGAGAAAGCAAGGACAAAGCACAGAGCTTGTGGGAGAGCCCATCACGGATTCAGGCTTCCCCTGGCATCCAGGTGTCTGCTTTGCTTTCTCTTCACTCTTCCTTGTTGTATTACCCCAACTCTCACTGCAGAAATTTACTTTACTTTTTGATATACAAGATATTGAAACTGCATCTGTTGAATTTTCACTGCCTAAATTATTTTGCAAAATTCAACTCATAGCTTTATATACTTATGTGGCTGTCTTTGTTTGTTTTTCATTAACATTAAAAGCAAATCTATAGGAAATACATTTTTTTCCCTTGGAAGAGGAATAGAGATGACAATCTAATTTGGTAAGTACATTTATAAAATACTAGGATGTTGAATATTCTGCATTACTTTGGGAAAGTAGCCTTTTAAATTGTAATTGTCAGAAGCTACATTTTCTACTGACTTATTTAACAGCCTGAAGTCTTTCTAAATAAAAGCAAATTTTGGTGCAATATATAGACAACCTTAATCCAGACAACAACATAGTACTTCAGCAGCCAATCCTGAAAAAATTATTCAGGATGCAATCCAGTGCTATTGGTAACTGTATACATTACAGGAGATAAGCCCAGAATAAATAACATGCTTGATGCTTCTAATTCCTTAAAATCAACATAAAAACCTTGCAAACTATTTCATGCCAGATTTGACAGGTGGTGATAGTGTTTGAGGAGGCATAGGATATACTGCAGTGATCGCAATGAATGGTGCGGCATTTGAGGTGTGCTTGAGTAGAGAGCAAAACAAGCCTGAAGAAGTTAACTGGAAGTGTTTCATACCATACCACTTTGCTGAGCTGCCTTTAAACTACCTGAAAACATTTTTCACTTTTGGAACATTTTAGAGATCAGCAATGCATAGAATGGCATTCAGATGAAAATATAAATGATAGTTGTACAAATTTAAGGGTTTGAAGATGATAGAAAATGCTGCTGATATAAAGATTTTTAACGAATCTGTGACCTTACCAGCTTTGTGAAATCTTTGTAATGCTTCAGATTATTAATTCTACTAATTGCAGCTTTTTACATTGTCTTTGTACACTATGAACCCTCTCTTATCCATGCTCATATCAAGTCAGATAAGTGTTAAGTTTTAGTTACAAGAAACTGTTCAGTGAATAGAATTATAATCAGAATAAAGATATCATTTAATGAAATATTTTGTATCATTTAAGTATTATTTTAGTTACTAAGCATAGAAACTCACTAAATGTTCAGAATATGCTTCAAGAATTAAATTTTAAAGTTAGACAAAAATAACACTTTCAGTGGATTCTCTCTAAAAATAGAATAGAAAATCATACATTGAAAAGATAATCTGGATCGATCACAAAATAAAGGGTTATATAAAAGCTTCATGCCCTTATTTTCTTGAGCAAGAAAAACATTTTAAAATAATGTATTCAATTTATTTAAGAGTAAAATTAATAAATGTGCTTCTATTCTTATGCCTAGAAATAATTTTAAAGCCAAGTGAGATTTGTGTCTTTCTTTGCTTTAATTTGGAAGACTACCTGTGACTTTTGGAAGAATTCCTATATATTTTGTGTCTTCAAACATAAAATTAATACACCTTTATTGAGTTTCTATTAAAAGTAAGAAATAGTGCTCAATGTAGGATTTCATCAAAGATATGTGAGTCGTGGTCTCAGTCCTCAGGTTGTCATGTTATGTATACTTCAGTTGAGAAAAGTTTAATTACAAGATTTTTTAATGCACACCACAATAAGGTTATAAAATTGCAACAATTTAATCTTTCCTTGATTTCCAAACTTACTCCCAGTAAGTTTTCCTCATATTTAAGTAAAGGGGATACTGGTTTTTAGAAAAGGTGGAATGATAAACAGTAGTAGACTAAACAATTGAATACTTGAAGAATTGTCTAATTTGGTTTATGATCAATTCAAAAAAGAACATACTACAATAATATTATTTAAAAAGCCTTCTTTTTTATTATACAACGGTAACTGTAAACACAGATAAACATTTTGACTGTTCTTTTAAGTTGTTTTCTAATCTTGGACAATTTTTCTTACTTGCAAATGAGATTTTTTGAAATTCCTTTTCTGTCAAAGTATGTGTATTTTCTCTTTATGGACATGCAATAGTGTCAAAAATTTAAGCTAATATATGAAACTTTATTTTAGTTATTTCGAAATATCAATTTTTGTGAGAGCACTCCATCTCATGTTCTTATATATGTTGCCAAGAATATAAAACAAACACAAACAATGTAAAAAAATGAAAGGGTTATAAAAAGCAATTGTGTGTTTCTATGTTTTAAAAAAATTCAATTAGCAAGCAACTATATACTTTATATTTAATATTCAAAATTTTTTTATTTTATTGAATATTCTCAATATTTTCTTTGTTGACAGTTTTCACTAAGGTCAATTATACAAATTTTATTGGGGGAAATGCAAATTCTGCATAATTTTAATTCTATCTTGCAGCTACTTTTGTTTAGTCTTTCTGTATAAATTTTCTACAGAGTAAAATCTATTGTGCATATGCATGCTTATGAATTTTTCTATGATTTTTATTTTCTGTGTAATACATATAAATATATTTGAATGCATTTTTCTTGTTATACAGGCAGTTTTGCTCTTCCGAAATTAAAAGGCCAACTAAAGTGTAATATAAAATTTATTGCTATGTATTCAAGTCCATAATTCTTTCACTCCTCAAAAGAAGTTACAACTGCCATTAAAACATAATACAAAGTCTTTTTAAAAAGCCAACTGTTTCCTTTTTATCATTGCAGCAAACATCTTTTCAAAGTGGGAGCAATCATATTTAGGTGCACAATAAAATGCATATAAAATATTTTTATTTATGAAAACAGCTTTGTGCAAAAGATGAATTTTGACATTGTATCCAATAAGTGCATGTTCTAAATAATTCTATTGCAAATGAATGGGTTTGAATATTTCTTATTTCTTTGTAATTAGATTTCATGCTGAAATCATAAATATGGGAGATGTCATATTAGCAAGCATGGAGAAACAAATTCTTCGGCATCCAATATCACTATCAAGCAACACTGAGTAAAGCTGTGGATTTCACCCTGTAAATCATGATTAGCTTTGAATGCGATCCCTTAATGATCTTAAGTAATGAATTTGCTTCTGGTGTTCAAGCAGTAGGACAGGTCCCTGTGGTGGGAACATATGTCTGTCTGTAAAACTGCTGATTTGAAATGGTACCTCTTCAAATGTTCTCATTATACCCTTTTATAATAGCTCTATGTTTTCCTTCTAACAACATTATTTCTAAAATGAATTATTGTCTGGTTAAGAAGTCAATGACAGTCTCTTGAGATGACTTCTTAGAGAGTAAATTTATTTTAGAAATTAATACTGTACAAAAGAAAACATAAAGCCATTATATAGGTTGAAGGGAAGCTCCCCACACAGTTCTGACAGAGAAGAGAAAGCAATCTTAAATCTTGGCTTCTTTCCTCATGCTGGCAATAAGGGTGCCAATAAGGGCTGATTATGATAGTGGTTTTTATGAGGTAGACACCTGTTAAGTAGGAACTGGACTGTGACCATCAACTCATTTCCCACACACCACTAAACAGCTATCCATTTTTAATGACTTCTGGCCAATGTTCATTTCTAAGCCAGTAGTTCTAATATAGCCCTGGTTGATATTACACTATTTAAACTCCCCAGTGTATAAGAATAAAACAGAATTGAAATAATCTCTTTTAGGCAGAAAACAACACAATACGGTAAATTACATTATAAAAATAATTTTGACTAAAATACTATTTTATCTGCAAGTAAAAGAAATATATAAAATATGTATATAACATTCATATGAAATATACATGAACTCAGTGTTGTAGCCATATCCACGTGTAGTTATGTAAAGAGAGACATGCATAAATGCACAGCAGCATTGCTGCAGACCACCTTAATAGTGTTACTATACACATACACACCTGAGTTTTCATGTAGTGCTTCTCAAGCACAGCTGCAAACTTGTTAATTCCTTAGTGAAAAACCTTCCCTAGCATCCTATTTCTTATCATTTCTTAACACAGGCATTAAAGTTCTTCATGGTGTACTCAGTTGGCTTTTCTAGGCTTATCATCAAATATCGCCATCTTTTTCCACGTATGTATACATCTTCTGGTAATACCAAACTGTTACTGCATTACAGGTCCCGAGGTTTCTCAACTATCTTTTGTTATCTTTCTATTCTCACTAATAGTTTTCCTCCCAAAATCAACCTAGAAAAACCCTATTAACTTTACCAAGTCCTATTTAAGTGGTCTTTTTTGTATATTCTTCCTCTATCCCCTATTTAAAATTATCACCTCTTTCTTTTGCATTCACATAGTCATTTATACTTCTCTCATATCACTGATCAAACAGATGGATATTTTGCTCTCAAATGATTATATATGTTCAATCACTTATAGTCCGCACTAGGCTATAAATTTCGTAAGTTCTGGGGCTAGACTCTTAACAACTGGTCAAGCAGAGACCATGCCATGGTCTAGCATCCATGGGAACAAATGTGGAGCAAGAAGGAAAAGGGGAGGAACTTCTGTAAATGGATCCTAGGCAGTCAGTT